TGGTTAACTCAGAGGGAAAGAATTTAGTTGGAATCAAGCTGACCTCGGCTGGAAGCTAACTCAGCAAGGCCCTGCTACTTCACAGACTAGGACTTAAGTCTCGGTAGCAGCCATTAGCCCAGGAGCTATACTCCCCCAGCCCTGCTATATGACATGCCCATTTGAGTCAGGTAAAGCTTTGGTCAGATCCCTAATATAAAATAGCCGAATTATGGAGGGGCAATAAGCTTATTCCACTTATAGCCTGCTAATAGTGGCCAGGGATGTCTGCTACAGAGAGGATGGCACCCAGTCACTTCTCATGGAGGCAGAGTTTGCTTGGAATCCACTTTAGTTCCTATCCCATGCAGGTTTCTATCTAGTGTAGGTACTGTGTCCTGTCTGCTCCCTCTGTTCTCTGTTCTTTCAAAGGTCTCTCTGCGCTTTGGTGGATCTTCCTCTATGAATCCTTCAAACTCAGGCAGCAGGAAGGAAAGCCCCGAAGTGAGACCCGAAGGTCCTGGGGTGGGCTATTTTGTCCCACTGTGCCACCCTCCCTCCCCCTGAGTCCTATGCCAAGAGAAGGAGGCTGTCACTGGAGTCCCCTGGCCTGGGACCTGGCTGGTGCACAGGATGTAGTGGTTCTAGCTCAGTTCTCACCTGGTCCCAGGACTTCCTTTACTAGGCAAGATGTCTGCCTGTCCATGGATGCTCAGCAGAGGTCCTCTCTGGGCTGTTATGAACAAAGCTGCCATGATCCTCCTCATCTAGGGGTTGGTGTGACATGTATTTTCTTTATCTTGAGTAGACACACTTAGGAGTGGGATTACTAGGTTCTAGACTAAATCTGTGTTCACCTATTTGAGAACCCCTGTGATCCACAGAGGCTGTGCCAAATTTACATTCTCAGCAGTTCTTGTCCAGGTCCAGGAGAGGAGAAACTTTGAGACCCATAACTTTCAAGGCCAACATAGATCGGTGGTATTTCACTAAGCAGATTTTACAGGTTATTTCTTTAGATGCACATTCATTACACCTGTGGAATCAGAGATTTTTCTAAAGTACTCATAATCATACTTAAAAAAATTATTTTGCAATCTGAAATGAGTGACAGTGCTAATGAAACAGAATAGATTATCAAGGTAGCCTAGAAAGGGTCGTAGAAACTAACAACCAAACAGGTATAAGCAGTTTTCCATTTAGCGATTGTGTCCTTCTACCCACACCAATACTTTAAACCAAATTCCTTCTCTTTTTAAAGTTGCATATTTCATTTTGAAACTTTATAAATTATAGTTGCTTTGAAATATTATAAAACAGACCATGCAAGCTAATAGCCTGGCACATCTCCCATTGCTTTATGAGTTGCAAATGATCATTTCTAAATTTGGGGTGAGGTAGGGTGTAGCTGACTGCTGGAGCCCTTGCTTAGCATGCACAAGGCTGTGGGTTTGCTCCCCAGCACTAGAAAAACATAATTAAATTGTGGAGATCTTTGGGTAGATACTGAGTGTGGAATCACTGTGTCGAAGGAAAGTTGAATATTTAACTGTGTGTGAAAGTTTTCTAAAGTGGTTGTGGGATTTCACCCTCGCACCAAAAATGAGTGAAAGTTCAGGTTGCCAGAGTGGGTGGCACTGCCTGTCTTTCCTGTCTATGGCGAGCCCTTTGGTGTTGTTTAAGGTGCTTTCTCAAGAGCAGTGGATTTGAGATTTCAAAAGGACAGTTTGTGTTTTTTCTTATTTTTACAGTGATTGTTTGTTGTGTACACAGAAAAGGTCTTTTTTATGGCAAGGTACTTGGAAGTGGGGGCGGGGCCAGAACCCCAACTGTGGGTGACCCAGGGCCTGGTGACTTGGCCTGCGGACTGGGTGGGGCTGTGCGACCCTGGGGATGGGGTCTGGCAGCAGTTGGCTCCCAAGGAACAGGCACTGTGCACGTGGTTCAGAGGCCAGGGCAGTGAGGAGGGCCCCTCAGAGGGCAGGGGCAGGAGGGGAGCCCCCATGGCGCAGCTTCCTCGAGTGCACAGTAGGCTGGGATGGGCAGCAGGAGGACCGCTTGAGGCTCTGAGTGTGGTGGACACAGTGAGAGTGGGGCCAGGCATGGGTGGCAGGGAGGGGCAGAAGAGCAGGCCTTGGGGACAGAGAGGGCAAGGCAGTGACATCCTCCACGGGAGACGCTGTGGACAAGGGAGGAGGGCAGGAGTCCAGGTCTACCCGGGGGGAAGGGAGGGGCTATAGGGTGATCCATGTCCCATCCATAGCAGGGCAGCACCCAGGTCCTGGCCCTGGGGATGATGTGACTGTGTCCACATCTGCACACACAGAAGCGCAAGTGCTGATTTCAGCTGAACATTTAGCTTTTTGTCTCAGTTTCTAACATTTGTGTATTTCATTCATGAAGAAAATCGTTCTGAACTCTATTTGTGGAAACGTCTGGCTGTGAACTCTGACAGACTTCTTGTTGGGCCATGGAAGCAAAGCACAGGGCAGGACTCCTTCAAGTGGTGAGGAGGCTACCGTGGCCTAACGCTTCTCAGTGGTTTCCAGTTTTCTGGAAGTCATGGGAAGCCTGGGGAAGTTCCGGCTGACTCACTCTTCAGAAGGTTTAATATCACCCTCCATTGTGTCAGACCAAACACGGCTGCTAATTTCCCCTCTGATAGATTGTCCTTTGTCTTTTTCCCACAAAGGCTGGCTATGCAGCCCAGGCCAGACTTCAACTTGTGATCCTCCTGCCTGGCCCCGTGGTGCTGGGATTACTAGGGTGAGTCACCTTGCCATGTTGATGTCAGTGGGTCCCTGCTCTTGGGCTGGGTTGCTTGTCCTCCTGAGGGGCCCGGGGAACCCGCAGGCCTGACCATTCTTCACCATGAAGGGCAGGGCTGTCTTCTCTTTGCCACACAGCCAGGGGCAAAGAAATGGTCACTCACCGAGTGGAGGATAACTCCAGGCAGCAATTTCAGTGAACGCAGTGGTTCTCTAAGGGTGGAGTAGACAGTAAGTAGTGGAGAGGGATGTTTGCCAGTTAATTTCCCACACAGAGCACTACAGGAGTCGGGCCGTACTCTGCATCAAGTTAGTCGCCACTGGGACCTGAGTTCAGAAGAGAGAGGGACAGTTTGGGAGTTGGGCTGAATGAGAAGATTGGAAGCCAGGGAGCAGGTGACCTCTCCTAGAGAGGGGACCTAGAGAGAGGAGAGGAGAGGAGAGGCAGGCAGAGGCCAGGCACTTGTGCCTATGTGTGTAGGTGTGAGCAGATGGGGAGGTGTAGTACCAGTGCTGAGGGGGTGTAGAGAGATGGGATGCCCCGGGAAGGGAGGGGAAGATTCCTGTACTGGGCAGTGCTGAGATGAGCAGGGTCAGCTCTGCCTCTGCCCCTGCCCTCAGAGAGCAGCACTCATTGTGTATGTGGGGGGCGGGATGTGGGGAAGAGTCTACGTTTGATAGTTTCCCTGTGATTAAACAGCACAGGGTACCATGCTGGCTGCACTCTTCTGGCCCTCTCATCTGTTTCTGGTCTTTACGTCACATCTGTTGGAGTTTTACTCAGCTTATTCAGTTATTGGACTGCTGTATCACGGATTCTGGGGACAGTGAGAAAGAGAACACGTGAGCACATGGTCTTTCTCTTTCAGGGCTGCAGGTGGGGATTTACACCCATGTGTTGCTTGGAGAGGGTGAGGGTATGGCTGCCTCTCCACCCTTGCTTCAAACTCACCGGTAGTTGGAGTGGGTGTCACTGCCTTCTGAGCCCCCGAAGTGTGACACTCTCGTGGCCTAACTTTACTCTCACCCCACGTGCCTTTATTTTTGCAGACAGTTGCTCTGCTGAGTCCCCATGTTTCTGTAGCCAGGATGGTCACAGTGTTCACCTGAGACTCCCTCATGGATTCCTGCTGTGTTGCTCCCTGGCTCTTCTGTGTGAGGCAGCTTGGCTTCTCCTAACAGGTGACTGTGGCCTCTCAATGTCCTCATAGTTGTCGACTAAGAAATGGGTCTGGAAGTTCATTTTCATCCCGACTTTGAGCATGAGAAAGTCATCAACCGGGAGAGACAGGGTCATTGCATGTTGCTGATTTGCTGAGGTGATACTCCTGAGGATCAAAGTCCTGAACGAAGTGCAGATGACTCCACTTCACGAGGAATCAAGTGGAAGCACTGCTTTTGTCACTGTTGTGGGACCCTGTGACCAGTCAGGGAAAACTCTGGTCTCTAACTATTGCCAGCCCTATCAAATTCTATAAGTCACTGGCAGAGCTGGCCCTTCCTCTCTAAACTTGACTGTAGTATTTTTTTATTTTTTTATTTTTTTTGCTACCAGGGATCCAACTCGGGACCTTAGGCTTGAGAGGCAGGCACCAGAACCACAGAGCTAAATCCCTGTCCCATTGACTATAGTATTTTTGACAGCTGAAGTCACCTATTGAACAGACATACTGGTTTTTTGTGGATGAAATCGTACTCCCAGCTAACTAAAACACCAGATGTGTAGAATTTTATATTGAAAACGTTAGTATAAAGTAAGAATTGCATTTCTTTCTTTTTTTTTTTTTTTAAGTTTTTTGAGACAGGGTCTTGCTATGTAGTTCCAGCTGTCCTTGAAATCATTGTGTGGCTCAGGCTGGACTGAGACTCGTGGGTATCTGTTGGTGGTCTCTCTAGAGGGAGATCTGAGACCTCGGAAAGCACCGACTTTTAAAGAAAGAAAAGGAGATAGCCTGGGGGATGAACAGCAGTTTAATTCTCTGGCACTATTCAACAATCACAAAGGGAAGAAGCAAGGCTGTTATACATGTAGGAAAGCAGCTTAGTTATTCTGGCTATTGTCTTTCTGATTTTTACATCTGATGCTAACCAGTGACTTTAAGTGACTCATAAAAGCTACAGGCGAATTCACAAATCCCCCGTTTCTGTTTGTTCACCAATCCCTTACATCAAAGAGCACACTGCAGCCCTCTTCTTATCAGATGGTACCAAGAGAGCAGGAAGACTTCAGGCAAAATCAAGCCCACCGGCCCACCACAAACATCACAGATGTGCATAGTGAGTCGTATCTCTCTCACCACCCACAGAGTCACTGGGTTGCTGTTCCCTGGTCCCAGGAAATGGTAAATAAGAAAACTAGGAAAACCTGTTTTTCTCCCATGAGATTTTATAACATCTCTTAAAGTTTTCTGGCATTCTTTTAACAAACAGACTTGTGGAATTTCCCAGAAACGACTTAATTTCCTTAGTTAACAAACTTCTTGTGATCAGTTCTTACAACTAGATAGCTGAATTCTCCAATTTCCCACAGGCATCCTCCTGCTTCAGGTTCCTGTGTGCTGAGATTGTAGGCCTGTGCCACCGTGCCTGGGCAAGAATTGCATTTCTGAGGTTAATAATCACCTTTCATACTAATGATGTTGTGGACCTATCTTTGTCCACAAAACCTTTCCTGAGTAGACTGCTGCTTTTTTGGTACAGTATTCCTTCCCAAATTGACTCCAGAAGGACTGGTGCATGGAGAGTTCCAGGCCCTCCATTATAGCAGCTGTTACTAGTTTAAAGTAATTGTAGGGAATGATGGTTTCAAACATTTACAGATGATGGGAGAGAATCATTCTCAGAAAATGCTCCCTGTGATGCTGGTAAAATCATGTGGTCTTAAAATTTCAGTTGTGAGTTTGTATCACAGTGCACCTGGTGGGATAAAACCTGCTGTGGACAGGCTTGTGCAGAGTAGCCATCTCCTGCCTGTTCCTTCTCCCCAGCCTCCTCCCTGGCTGCAGCCAGGGAACTGTGAACCATTTCCTCCTCCCTGTCCTGGTCACTGTCTACACCGGGGCACTGTTCCTCCTGCATCCACATCTCTTGCCAGGCTTGTTGCTTAGAGATGTCTCTTTGGTTTTTTCCCTGCCATGTAGGGTGGGTGCTCAAAATCACTTTCCCCGTGTCCCACAGTGCGGGTGACAGCTGTGCTCCCTGACACCTGGCTCTTTTTCCTTAGAGTCCCTTCCTTTTCTGTGGAAGAGAGCCCCTGGAGGAGGGACATCACCCAGGCATAACCACCTCATGGAAATCACCCAGGAAACTGCTTCTACTGGTGAGCTCAGGGTGGTTCCATGGGGACTTTTAGCTCACAGTCCCTGACCTCACTTCCTGTGCTTAGAAATGCCTGCCTCAGAAGCCTCTACTTTTCCTTTCCTGAACTAGTACATTTTAGATGATATCTCATCTGCATTTTTCATGTCCTTCTCACTTCTTTATACTTTCCTCATGTCATTTACCAGTTCTTACAGCTGGAGATCTGGAGATTGCAGATTCCACACTTACATGAAAAGATACGCAACTTTGGTAACTTTTCAGCTATTTGTTTCTAAATCAATATTTTCAAATTTCAGTCCCATTTTCTCTTAGGTGATGAGGACACAGATATTTACTATGCTAAAAGTGGAATATGTTTGATTTCATTATTAATCTATTGTCACATGGTCACTTTGTCTGTTATATTTTCTGTGTGGTTGTTGTTTTTATTTTCAAATTGAAACCTTTCTCAAAGCTTTGACTATTCAGAATGTCTTAGATCTCAGCACATGTATGTTAGCCTGAGGTAAAAACTTAAAATAATTTATTGGTGTCCTTTTTTAGCATGTCAAACAAAAACAAAGTGACACTAAGTTATCACTAGAAGTAAATGAATGTTTCCCGTACCATCATGCTGGTGTTGTTGAACCCACCCTGTGCAGCAGTGCAGTGTCCAGAATACCATGGGATGTACTTGTAAGGACTTGCTAGGCTGACCTTTTCTAAGTGCAGGTATTATATCTTAGACACATTTTTGAAGAGCTGAAGACATCCCTGCCTGAAAAACCATATCTACTGATGATAACTCTTTTATCTCGGGTTTCTTGTAGGACTCTTACAGTCTAGTTTTATCACCTTAATCTTTTGATTCACACTGGTACCAGCTCCCCCCTGCTCTGGATTGTTGTTCTGAGCACAACTGAAGGGAGAGGACAAGGTAGGGCAGGCTGAGTGTGTGTTTTTTAGAAAGAACACAAAGTGAGGCCCTCAGCAGATGACCAGCTGGGGCTAAGAGGACGCTAGAGAAGCACCAAACCCAGAAGTTTGTATGTAGTTCTCTGGAGGCCGGACAAAGGGGCAGGGTACGTGGAATAATGCAGGTGGTTGGTGTGTTGTTTTCCCTCTTCAGTGGATTTTAACAGTCTTTTTTCTCTTTTAATGTTTTTTCTTGAGGCTTTATCTCACTTGGTTGTTAGTTTAGTTCATTTATTAATTTTGTTTAGACCTTTGCCTTTGTTCTTTTAGACCTTTGCCAGGTCTGTAGTGGCATCCTCTGACTCCTGTCGGGGTACAGTTGCATCATTTTCAGAAGCTATTTCTTTGTTGTGAGGAGGCACTGGCAGGACAGCAATCATGGCCCCCCTCTGGGAGGTCTGCAAGTCAGGAGGAGTGCTCATCGGAGGTTCTGTATCATCATCGGTAGTTCTAAAGCTGTATATTCATAGGTTCTACTACTCAGATTTTACTAAGTGCCGATTGAAAACAGTCGAAAAACTGTTATCTCTGTAATGAAGGTCAAAAACTTGTTTTTGTTATTGTTGTTTAAACAATATGGTGTAACAATGTTTTACTTAGCATTTCCATCATCTAGTGATGACTTAAGGTATATAGGAGGAGGTGTATAGATTATTGCAACCACTACCCCATTTGATGCAAGAGACTTGAGCACCTGCAGATTTTAGTATCTGTAGGGGTCCTGGAACCTGTTACTCTTGGATACCAAGGGGCCCCAGTAGTTAAGTTTTTGCACTTTTTTATGACAGAGTGGGGCTCAGATGTCAGCTGAGGCAGCCTGATTTTTAGATTTTTATGCCTAGGTGTTGTACTTTCATTAATTTATACTGGTTGGCACAAAAGCAGCACTTTTTTGTTGTTGTTTTTAAAGAATAGACATAGCCTTTTCTATTTTGGCAGTTAAGAGGTTATCTACAAGTCTGATTTTTTAAAAGATCTTTTTCTATGGTGTGAATTACTGATTTAAAGGCAAGTTTTCTTTATAAGCCTCTAAACTTTTTAGCCATAAGAATATTGAGAGTCCTGTGTTTTTGAGGAAGTATTTTAGGTAAGGAATTTAAAAGGTTTTTGTTGAACTTGTATAGGTGTTACTCTGGCTCTTTGCCCTACTGAGACTTAATAGGAATAAGCTCTGGGTGTAGCTGGAGATTGTCAGCAGAAGCAGTATATGGGACTTGGAACCCTTTTGTGTATGTAGCATAAATTATCATTAATCTTTATATATCTTGTCGGTTGTACTTTTTTGTTAGGGGATTAAGACCAGGTAAAATGCAACCTGTGTTAATCAGAATTAACCTCATGTTATATATTAAGATCAGTTAGAGCTCCTCAGGGGTTACTTTTGGGACTATGTACAGAACCTCTTGGCTCCTCTTCCGTTGTTAACTGTCAGGATGAGTCACAGTCCTGTTTGACCACATGGCTTCCCTTGGAGGTATGAGAGAGATTTTTCTCTGGTGATCCTCCTTTTAGCACAGTGTATAGTGGTTAATTTCTGTCTTCTTGGGTTCAGCAGTCTCCCTGCTCAGGAGATTGGGTGACTCACCAGGGTTGTAGAATCTCATAGAGAAGTCTCCTCTTGTTCTGGATTCTTGTTGACCTTGGAGGGCTGGGGCCAAAATATGGGCTGCTTCTTTATTTTTCTTAGCCCAGTTATTTTTTTTTTTAGCTTTGTTCTTTCAACCTCAGTTGGTGAACACCCAGGAGGTGGATTACATCAGTATTGTCATGGGTGCAGTAGGTTTAACATCATAATCTTATCTGGATATCAAGCACCTTGGGATATAAAGTGTGACTAGTCATGATTGTTTTAGGAGTTAAATTTCCAAAGAATAGTACCAGATTACAGTTATAAAGTTTTATCAGGAAAATTAGAACTCAAGATCAAACATAACATTTTGGCATAACAATTATTTTGACATTATTAGTTAAGAACTGTTGGCTTTTTGAAAAGTATATTGAAGGGCTGGAAATTTAGCTCAGTGGCACTGCGCCTGACTCACTAGTACAAGGTCCTGAGTTCGCTCCCCAGCACCGCCAAAAAAAAGAAAAAAAGAAATAAATAAAAATAAATTTAAAAGGGCTGGAGATGTAGCTCAATGCAAAGGCCCTGAGTTCAAATGCCAGTACAGGAAAGAAAAGTATATTGAAAATTTTATTGTAGTACTGAAAAGCTTATGATAGAAAGGGCTGTACGTTGTTAGATAGGATATTTGTTCATTATCTCTCCTTATTATAAAGCCAAGTGTGAGGCCTTGTGTTTTTATCCTTTTAACTTGAGTTTGGAGAAAATTCGTCATCTAAAAATCCTTCAAATTGGCCCCAGGCTTATAAAATAAAGCCTCAAGGTGATGTTTTGGTGACAAACATTAAGCTCTTCATGCTCACGTAAGATGTATCCTGTGTGTAGAATTGTGAAAAGACCCTGAAGAGGCCTGGCCCAAACAGGAAGAGGAGGAGGAGAACAGAGACAAGAGGTCTTGTTAATGGAAGGAGCCAGGAGGCCCAGGTAATACTGGTCTAAGTGTTGATAGGTGTTCTTTAATTTCTGAAGCCTTTTTCGTCTTACTGTTGTGTTTCACACTATGCCTGACTGGTTGATATAAAGGCAATGTTTTGTCTTAGAAAGATGTACAAGCTTCCCTTTTGGTCGTGAGAAGATCAAAGTCCTTACGATTTTGTTAAGGTAAGAATGAAGTTAGCTGTTTCTTTGCTTTTTTTCTTTTTTTGTCATGAAATTTATTGGTGCAATTTAGGTATACCTTATGATCACATTCATCATTGGGAATTTGAACCTGTACATGATATATCTTGGTTCTTATTTTTTCCCATTCTCCTTCCCTCCCTTTAACCCTTCCACCCTTCCTATTTACAAAAGCTTTGTTTCTGTTTTCCTTCTTTTCCCGTTTTTTTCTTTCCCTTCTTTCTTTCCCCCTGCCCTCCTTTCCCTTTAAACATTTTCTTCCTATTTCACAATATCTGTTATACATTTTGGTCCTTATTTACACTTTCAGTTTCTCACACAAGAGAAACAATTCTATATTTACACGTGCGTCCTACTTATTTCACTTAAGTATACGGCCTCAAGGTGCATCCATTTAGCTAGTTTATCTCTAACCATTTATGTTTGTGCATTAATCAACATGTCACAATAACTGAACTTTATTTTAGAATAATCATAATGCTGGAAAATACAAATCACTTTTGATTTTTTGTTTTGGTAATGACAACACCGCTATTCATATTATACTTGTAACCAGGATATCCTAACTACTTTAGGAAAACCAAGTTAGAAGTGTGATTGTGATAGGTCTCCCACCACCTCAGCAGCTATTATGTATAGTAGCTGCCCTCTTCCTATGGTGCCTTGCCCCCTCCCCTGTGTGACGTCATGCCAAGATGGTTGCTCCCACCAAAGAACAAACCCTTCTTCCCAGCATGCCAGGTACTAAGTGGCGTGGCTCCAAAGGTGACCAGGAGACCTGATCGCCCTTCATAGAGTTGTCTGTATCTCTAGGTGGAGTAACCTTTGAGAAGTGGAAGAGAAAGAAGGCATCTTACAGTGATGGGAAGCTGATGAGCACACATGCCCCAATCTTGCCTCACGCCATGGCCAAACTCGCTGACTGCCACGGGCAGGCTCAACTCACCCTGCTGTTAGCCCTGCTGCGGTGAAGGAGAAAACTGCTGTGGGCTGAGGACAGGGAAGGCCACTCTTGGGGCAGTGGTCAGCTGGCTCTCGTTTATCTTTCTTTATGGCTGAGTAGTACTCCATTTTATAGAAAAACCACATCTTCATAGCCAATCAGCAGTTGATGGGCATTTGGACTGTTTCCAAGGTTTAGCAATTATAAACTATCCCACTATAAACATGGGGTACATATATCACTGTGTTGTGATGCTTTTAATTCTTTTAGGAAGACCCCAAGAAAGGGAATAGCTGAGTCAAATGGAACCTCTAGTTTTAATTTTTTGAGGAATTTCCACACTGATTTCCACAGTGATTTCACCAGTCCGCACTCCCACTGACACTGGAGAAGGGTTCACATTTCCCCACAGCCCCTCCAGCATTTGTTATTCATTGATTTCTTGATAGCAGCCATTCTTTCTGGAGTGAGGTGGAATCTCAGTGTTCTTTTCATTGGCATCTGACCAATGACTAGTGATATTAAACGTTCTTTCATGCAACTATATGCTATTGCTACTTCTCCATCTGAGAAATATGTTCATTTCAGATGCCCATTTTTGTATTGGGTCTGTAAAATTGAGAGGTCTAATTTTTGTGAGTTCATTATATAGTCTAGATAGTAGTCCTTTGTCTGAGGAACAGCTGGTAAAATTTTTTCCCACATTGTGGGTTGTCTCTTCTGTCTGTTGGTGGTTTCTGTGGCTGTGCAGAAGCTTTTTTAGCAAGATGAGATCCCAGCTGTTGATTCCTTGTGCTAGTTCCCATGCAATAGACTTTGTTCATAAAATCTTTTCCTATGCCAATGTCTTCAAAAGTTCTACCTAACCTATCTTCCAGGAAGTTTAGTGTTTCTGTTTTAATATTCAGATCTTTGACCCACTTTGATTTTAGTTTAATGCGTGGTGAAAGATATGAGTCTAGTTTTAATCTTTGGCAAGTTGAAATCCAGTTTTTCTAGTACCATTTATTAAAGAGGCTGTCTTTTCTCCAGTGAGGGTGTTTGGCTCCTTTGTCAAAAATGAGATGACTGAGTGTGTCTGGAGTTGTTTCTTCATCGTCTAATCTGTTCCAGTGATCCTCAGATCTCATTCTTTGTCAGTACCATGCTGTTTTTATCACAGTAGCTTTGAAGTATAGTTTCAAATTCAGGATTGTGATACCCTTGTCTTGCCTTTGTTGCCTAGAAATGCCTCTGCTATTTAGGTCACTTCTGGTTTCACATGAATATTAGGATTGTTTTCTCTAATTGTGTGAGACATGCTGTTGGAATTTTGATCACGATTGCATTAAATGTATATAACAGTTTTGGAAATATGGTCATTTTCACTCTACTGGTTGTTCCCACCCATGAACAAGAGATGTCTTTCCATTTTCTGATATCATCTACGATCTCTTTTTTTTTTTCAGAGTGCTATAGTTTTCAGAGTAGAGAATTTTACTTCCTTAGATTGACTCCCAGGTATGCATTTTTATTTTGGATTCTCTTGTGAAAGGAGTTGTTTCCCCAATTCCTTTCTCAGTGAGTCTGTTATTCATGTATAGGAAGGCTGTTTTGATTTTTGTGTGTTCACCTGGTATCTAGCTACTCTACCTAATTTGGTTAAGTCTAGAAGTCTTTTGGTGGAGTTTTTGGGGTCCTCTATATAGAATATCATGCCATCCACAAATAAAGACAATTTAACTTCTTCTTTTCCTGTCCTTATTCCTTTTATTTCTGTCTTTTGTCTAATTGCTCTGCCTAATGTTTCCACAAGTATATTGAACAAGAGTGGTGATAATAGACATCCTTCTCTTCTTCCTGATTTTAGTGTAAAAGATTTCAGTTTTACCCATTTTTAGTATGATGTTGGCTGTTGGTTTTTCATAGATGGCTTTTATCAGGTTGAGATAAAGACCATCCATTCCAGTTTTCTATAGGGTTTTTATCCTGAATGAATGTTGGACTTTGTCAAATGCTTTTCTGCATCTATGGAGATATTCTTGACTCTGTTCATATAGTGTATTATCTTTATTGATTTTTGCATGTTGAACCATCCCTGCATCCCTGGGATGAATCCCACTTGGTCAGGGTGTATGATCTTCTTGATGATCTTCTGCATTCTGTTTGCCAGTGTCTTATTGAGGAATTTTGTGTCTATGCTCATTATGGAGATAGGCCTATAGTTCTCTTTCTTGGTTGGGTCCTTCTCTGCTTTTGGAAACAAGGTAATGCTTGCTTCCAGGAATGAATTTGGGTGTAGTGCTTTCCTTTCAATTTCACTGAAACATTTGAGAAGTCCTGGTATTAGCCATTTCTGAAGTTCTTGTAGAAATCAGCAGTGAATCCATCAGGACCTGGGCTTTTCTTTGCTGGTAAGTTTTTAATTGCATTTTCAATTTTATTGATTGATATTGTGTTGTTTAGAACTTTTATATCTTGTTGGTTCAACTTATGTATCTAGGAATCTGCCATTTCTTCTCTGTTTTCCATCTTATTAGAATACAGCTTCTCAAAGTAGGTATAGATATTCCTCTGGATTTCTGCAGAATTTGTTGTGCTTTCACACTTTCCTTTCCAATTACATGAATTTGGGCCTTTTCTTTCCTTTTTTTGGAGAAGATTGCCTAAGGGTTTGTCAATTTTATTTATTATTTCAAAGAACCAACTCATTGTCTTTTTCTAGGACATTCTTTAGAATATTTTGGAGTACTGGTTTGGTATTCATGAAGTTCTTTGGGTGGTCTTTGTTGTGGAAGTATCTTATTTCTCCATAAATTTTGAAAGATAGTTTTTCAGGATACATCAATCCTGGTTGGAAGTTGTTTTCTTTTAGGGCTTGAAATACTTCACTCCAGGCTCTCTTTGACTGGAGGGTTTGTGTTGAGAACTTTGCTGTAATTCTGATGGACTTTCCTTTGTATGTGATTTGTTTCTTTGCTTTTTTTTAACTGCTTTTTTTTATTTTAAAAATCATTTATTATCTGGAATGATGAGTGTCAAGGGGGCTAAAAAAGTAGGACACTCTTGGAGAGGATGGCTCTAGAGCAGGTGCTTGATGAGGAGCCATGCATGATGCTAGGTCACTGGTGAGATCATTCCTATGTCCTAAGTCCAGACAGCCTGGAGCACCAGGATGAATCCGAAATTCATGTAACAATAAAACTAGAAACTGTATTCACACTCCTATAAAAATATGAACAATCAAGAAAAAATAAAACAGGGTAAAAATAGTAAGAGGAAATGAGAGAAATGAAGAAGAGGAGGAAGAAGGGGAAGAGGAAGAGGAAGAAAAAAAGTGTCTCTTTTGTCATTGGTAGACAGTGTGATGGTCAGCATACAGTAATGAGTTGATTAATCTCAGCTAGCCAGCCATAGTCCACTGAAGTTCAGGCTGGTTTCTGGCTGTGAGGCTGACACTGAGCTCCTTGCTCTCCTGCACATCTGAACTCTGCCTGATTCCACTGCTTGTTCAAGCTGTCCTCTGTAGCAAGTCTGGGCTCCAGTAGGAGGTGCTGACACCAACAATTCACCAACTGCTGCAGTCCGCTGTGTCTTTATTCCAGTGACCCTCTTTGCTCTCTAGATGGGCTTCAATTCTGAACAACAAGCCTTGGGGTGGCCCTCTTTGCTGCTCACCACTGCACCATCTTCCTGAACTCAGAACAATATCCTTTCTGCACTCTGCTCCTGGCTGGCCCTGGGCACCTCTGCCGTGTGGTGCAGAGATGCCTGTGTAGCCCTCACACTGCACAGTTCTCAGATCTCTCAGGTGCTGTGCTGCTCCCCTCAGGTCTCAAGTCAGCTGTTTCTCTGCAGCTGTCAGAAAGATCTTGGGAGAGGGAACATAGCAGGTCAGGAAGGTAATAGGTCTCTACCTTGTTGGATCAAGGTTTTAACGGTGAGAGGCAGGCTAGTGGGAAGAAAGGGGAATTCAGGGAGGGAAATTTCCCTTAGAAAGCAGGGAGCAGTGGTAACAGTGGTAACAAAGTCTATAGTGGATGTCTCCAGTTGGGACTCAGGGCCGTAATGGAGTGTGGGTGAGTGGCCAGGGCATACATCCCCAAGGCTGGGCAAACACCAAGGGAAGACAGTTCTTCCCAGGGAGTGTTCTGTGACTAGTGCTGGGTTTAAATGGTATGGAAAGCAGACTGAGCCTCTCTGTGTCTCAATGGGTAAGGAGACAGGAGGAGGAAGAAGGGAACTTAATCAAGGTGAGAGAGAGTGAAGGACTCAGGGTGGAAGCCTGAGGGTGAAGCCTACTAAGATTAAAGCAGTCTAAAGGAAGGAAGTGGGTAAAGCAGCAGGATAGGCAGGGACAAGGCATTTAAGTGTCTTCTGGAATTAAGGTCAGCCTGAGGGAAGTAGGGGAGATTCCTTGTGATTTTTACAAGGAAGAGTCAGGTGAGTTATCAGCTGGACGCAGCTTTAACAGAGAGCGAAGTATCCACTGGGTAGGGTCTCAGAGACAGCCATCGGGGTTAGGCTCTCTTTAAAAGACTAGGTGTCAGGAAAAGACAAGAGAAGGTCAGCAGCCTGTCGGATCTCTTTTCTGGCTGGTTGTGGATCTGGGCAATAGTCTCTGATGGGACTGATCTTGTGGGACCAGAATGACTCCATTTTGTCCAAAATGGAGCAGTCTCCTTTGTTCTCTCAAATTTGTGCTTGATCTGGGACAAAAGACATGATCTGTAACTCAAGATTCCTAAGCTCATTACTCAGCCATCTGTTTGCCCTAGAAACAAGTGTCCCAGGCCCACTATCTATAGGACAATCTGTTAACGTGCTGACTATCCACACAAGGTGGTCATGACCATGAGTCAAGATGTCTGCTGACCATCAGTACGTGACAGTAGACCACTAACCTTTGTCCCCATTTTTCTTGTAAAAACCTATACGTAATCCCCTTCAACCCCCAATGAGCCTAGCCAATCAAAATTCTACACTTCATACTTGCTAAATGTTAGCCAATCATATGGCTGCTAATGACTGAAGCTTGCTGTAATCTCAATAAAAACCCTGCTAATTTGGAACTCCGGGCTCTCAATCTTGATCCGCTGTGTCGGTGACAATTGAGAGTCCCTGCTTAAGCTTGAATAAATGACCCTCGTGTGCTTACATCGGAAACGGTCTCCTGGTG